AACCAACTGGAGCCCACTACCTACTTGAAAGATAAAATATCCCTAGAAAACGTGCGAATTTCGGATTCTTTAACTTGTGTGGTGATGAAACACCACTAAGAATTGCTAAGCGGACACCTCTAAATCACGAAGATTTTGTGTGGACGGAATCAATTGTTATTGGAAATACTCTGGCCTGGTATCGATTCGATCCTTAATGTTTGTCCTCCGACGATGATCCTACTGTATCAATCGGGCCCGATCTCTCCCCAGCGGGCCAATACGACCCCCCCCTCTGTGACATGTCGAGGATTCCTCAACGCACGCTTGACCCTGGCGAGAGTTTTGTTCATGACCCAGTACACTTGTGAAACCTTCGCGAGGGCGAACTGCGGCCAAAAGCACCAGGTAACAATCAAAAGCGAGATAAAAGTTTGAAGCACAATCTATATTGTGATTGCTTTCAACGAGACATTTCACAAAGGGGGAAATGGATCAAAACCCTTTATGGGTGTCCTTAGTACTCCTCCTAGAAGGGTTTAAGACGATTCATAGCTTGCGTAAAAAGGTCCTGGATAGCTTTGCTCAAGGGCACACACAGCGACCCAATGCTATGGTCATCTATCCCGAGAACGAACGTAGAAAACCACCACTGAAAAAAAAACTGAAAAGAGAAGAGGAAAGTGTGTCCGGAAATCACAAATCTGCCGCATTTTCGTCCAACACGCAAGATCTCCGGATCTTTTGGTCAGAACTGTGTTTCTGTCTGTGGGACCTGAACTTTTTGCGGTTGCCACGCGGGGAAATGAGATGAAAAGGTATGCCCTTTTTTCTGAGGATTGATTCGATTTCATTTTTCAGGTTGTCACAACGCTTTGAAGAAACTATTCGCCGAATGGAGGTGTGCCTGAGGGAACCTTCGTCCCAAAATGCGATGTTATTCTGGGTATGAGATGTTTGGTTTTGAGTTTGAGGTTTTGATTTTCTTTACACATTGTTGATTTTCTACATACAGAACCCACCCAATGTTCAGCAACAATTCATGGACCCAGAATAATGTACCATAGAAAGAGAAAGATTGAAAGTTGGGTTCAAGTTCACGATGAGACGAAGGTCAAAGAAGGGGAAAATTGCATAGTTGGAGACAGGCGGACCTCCTGAGGGTGCTGACCGACGCGCAATTGGCAGCGAAAGATTTGACCTCGGCGATCTAGCATGGCTCACTCTTGGCGCGGTTGGCGGGGTCTACC